AGGGGATGGAGCTGGACTCTGTGAGAACGTGGGACTTTGTTTAGATTCTTAGTCTAGGAATGAAACCAAGTCAGCCCTGGTCTCATCCTTTGTATAGATCATCGCTGGACAGCTCTCACCAAGCCAGCATCTGAATCCTGTGAGGTTTCTCCCCACCTCTTTCTTTCCAGAGTAATTTAAAAGCATTCACTTCCTGCCCAAATGGAAGTCACTTGTAGAGAGGGAAGCGCTCTATCCCTGGCTAAGGAAAAATGCAAGGCAGGGTGTATCACCCTGCCCAGGCTCACCTTCTGGGGCCGATCAGAGGATTCACTTGGTCTAGCATGATCTCCCAACTGTGTCTTTGATGACACCTAGGCTACGCTTTACTCATGAAAGAAAATATTTTCCACTTGTGTTGTTTCTCCTGTTTTTGTTTTTGTTTTTAATTGCAAAACTAACTTGCGGTCCCCATTTGAAATAAAATGACTTTTATGATTTGGAAAGGTACATTTTGCTAGGATTAGGAATTTTCACTTAGATGAATGCAGCCACAATCAAGTATAGGCTTGTGTTACTGCGACAAGTCTTACTTGGTCCACAGACACATGAACATGTCTTTCTCAAGACAGATGATGCAGGCTGTCACTTCTTATAAACTCCTAAGGTCCTACCCCTAATTTCTAAGGATCTCTTAATTCTGTAGTGGTTTTCTCAAATCTACACTGAAATAAAATTTTGGGTGGCATATTCATATGTAGAGAAACACCCAGTCATTTCCGTCTTGCAAATAAGTATCCACCTTTATATATCTATATCTAGAAATAAATGTGTGTGTGTGTGTGTGTGTGTGTATACCCACGGTATATGTGTGTGTGTGTGTGTGTGTGTGTGTGTGTGTGTGTGTGTATATATATATATATATATATATACATTTGTAACATACATATAAATATACATGTGTATGGGCATATGCATCATCAGCATTCAAATTCTGGATTTTCCTTACTATTAAAAAGTCCAAGCATGCTCTGCTATTGTTTCCTACAAAGTTTCTGGAACACCGTGCCTGGACTATCCTTCCCTTTTCTATGCATGCCTTTCTAATTTCATCAGCATAAGCTCAGGGAATACAAATTCATTTATTACTAGCCAAAGAAAAAACATAATTAGCAAAGTTAAAAATGTATAATTCATTCCAAAAATAAAAGAGAAATGACCTTCGGTGATTTTCTGCTATGCATTATATGCCCTACTGTTTCCCCTCCATTAGAGTGGATAATTGGGAATTAACCAGACTCACGTATACTTTAACAGCCTTCTCTCCCAGTATGGATAGAGTATGGATAGAATCTATAATCTGAATATTAGTGCTTTTTTTAAATAAAATATTCGTCCTGGTATTTAATTGTTGTTTACATAGTGATTATTTGCAAAGCTGAACTACTAGATGTATTCTAAAGGGAGAGGAACAATTTCTTGTCAGTTTCCACTGCCCAGTATTTATAAAGATTACAGATTAACAATCTCCCCTACCCTTGCCCTTCTCACCCAGCCCACGAATGTGTCTAACATTTACAGCTACTTTTGGATAGTGTTGTGGCCTGGGCATGGCTCCTGCTTTCCACCCTCCACGTGGCTGCATTTCAGTGGTAGGTGAGAGATCCCTATGGATGCAGTTTGTAAAGCTCTATAGCTTCCTTCTGATGAAAAGCACTATCTAAATAATATAAGGTGTTGTCTTTATTATATCACAACAGTGCAGATCATTGCACTAAGAGGAATGGAGGAGGTAACATGGGCACCTAGATAACACACACACGTGCATGCATGCGCACACATGGTAACACTTTCTCCCTCTCCTCCATGTCCCCCCTTCTTCCTGGAACTAGGGTGTTGAGAGGACCACTCCTCACCCACGAAAGAACTCTGCCAGGTTCCATTAGGCTCCAGAAGCTATCCAGTCTTCAACCAGTTGACAAAGTCCCTCCCTGGTGTCTGTTTCAGATGGTCCCCCAAGAAGTCCAAACCGTCTTGCTGGTCTACTGGGTCACGCAGCCTTTTCTGTACTTTAATGATCCTCAACCAACCTCTCAAGTTACTGCCTCTCTGGGCCTTCCCATCCTGCCCAGTCTGTTGGCCCTGAGCGGGGAGAAAACATGCCTTCCACTTAAGGAGCTCAGCCAGGGAAGGAGGAAGATAAAAGGCTGAAGTTGATACACAATTCAAAAGCAAACAGGAGGGAAAACAGAACTTTTCTTATAAGGCCAAATAAAACATCAGTGAAGGAAACGAAAATGAGTTGGCCTGCAAAAGGGGGCCAACAGAGCCCCTGGGCCATCGGGCACGAAACACTCTGCGTGGAGGGAGCGGTGCAGAAGCAAAGCCTGTTTTGGCAGCTCCTGAGTTCTCAGTGGCAGGAATAAGAACTTGTACATATGGGGGTGGGCAGTGGAGGGTGGGGGGAAAAGCACCCAACCCTAATAAACTAATCTCAGCTAATGTAATGTTTATCAAGTTCCTTGGATAATGATACCATGCATGTGATTATCATCATCAAAACCCAATCTATGTTTTAAAAAGTTGCAGATGATTAACACAACATCAAGTTGTTGCAAACAATTACTTAAAACCCACACACAGACACAGACGCGCACACACACATCCACACGCACACAGAACCAGGAGGTCCCCATATTCTGTAGAATGAGGGAGGCTGCAGCTGTAGGCCGACAGCTTTCATATCCTCATTTGAATAATGTGTCCTGAATCTGTCACTTTATTCATTCTCCTTATGCTCAGTGTACTCTACATCAACAACAAATTAAGTTGTAAATAAGAGACAATCATCACTTTTGTTTTTAAGCAGCTACTGCATAGAGAATTTCAATGTACGCTCCTTTTGACAGAGGGGGGAAAAAGAGGTGCTAGAGTTTGCTTTCATAAGCACAAATATGGGGAAACCAACAGAAACAAAAACAGAAACAGTTTACTGTTGCTGAGGGGAGGGAAAAAAAATTCTCTAAAGCACACCCATCCAGGACTGGCTGAAATTTCTTCCAAGAAGTTAACTAAGACATATAAAGCCAGAGGCTAAGTTTCCCTGATCACACTGGAAACCCATATGACTTGATACCAGTCTCCTGGTCTTAAGGGGTATCTTTGCTTGGCACGGCTTCCGACAAAAAGACAAGTGCATTGCATCAGTTATAACACAGGTGTATTCATGGATTGATTTCACACTCATCTCCACCAACTGCCAAGAGTTCGAATCATGACCACATGCACAGAAATTGAAAAGCCACTGATGAAAAATGACCTTACCTTCACATCGGAGAAGTAGGTCTTCAGCATATTTGAGCTGGGGTAACGAGTATAAAAGAACATGAGCTTTGCTTTTTTCAAGTGATTGGGTGACAATCCTTCCTGCATGTAGGAGGCATTTGGTTAAGGAAAACAATGTCTTTAAACACACGCACCCACCACCCACTCCCCAAAAGAACCTGGAGGCCCATCAAGCAGCCGGGGAAATTCTAGAAGGTAAATGGCACCGGCCACGGAATCCATCACTACGTTGCTGCCCCTTGCTCAAAATGACCATGGCTTGTCAGAAACTGCCAAGTGTAATGGTGAGGATGCACAATGTGGTTGCAGAATCTTGGTGGCTCTGTGGGGAGGATGGCAAAACATTACCCTGTTCGAGGTCCTTATGCTACCTATATGTTCACTTGTTGCTAAGGAGACAAATGCACCCAACATGTATTGTACAACTCTTATCGTGAGAGTTTTTCTCTTCTTTGCAATTACAGTTCTGTTTGTTCTTCTCTCCACACTCTGCAGCTTACATCAAATTATTATCCTAATGTGCCTGAAAATATAAAATGCATTATTTTGAACACTGTCAGGCAAGCTTCATGTTTTACCTTTTAGTGCTAAACTAATGGAGCATCTTGACTCACTTTCTTCCTATCTTATTATTATATCCTTTTAATTGTTTCCTTTTAAATAATAGCTAAAACTTGGGAGGGGTGGTTTTGGCACAGAGAGCGCAGGGAGGGGGTGTCGCTTTTGTTAAAGCAACGATCCAAAACCAAATACAATTTGCCTCTCCTGGATTTATAGTTAACTCCTTTGAGAGTGGCACAGTGGTTGGGGCTAACAAATCAATAAATGTGGGTTAGCAGATCAATAAATGGCCACTTACCCAAAATAAGAAGGCCTATTTATCTGGAAACATCATTACCTTTTAGATCTGTAAACAGCAGCAACTAAAACAGTTCCCAAGAGAATGTGAGGCTAACCATAACAATCCAGGCTTCCTGATTCTCCCCCAGATTCTTGGCACTCCTCAGCAGACTCAGAGCTGGGATGGCTCTGGTCACATCTGCGCCGCAGCCTGGCCCTGCCATTTCCTCAGCAAATTAATGGCTTTATAATTTATCAGAAATGAAGATGCACGTGGAGAAAATCAATGTGGTCCCCCACAAGGTCAATTAAGGGTCCTTCCTAGAAGCTTCTCTAAGGATTTTCTCTCAAAAGAGAGTATGGGAAAAATAAGAAATGAAAAGAAAATCTGCACTCGTGTGTGCGCACACGCATGCACACACGCTTTACTAGGCAACAAAAATGCCACACCTGGTGAAAAAAGGTTAAAAAAAAATGCACGTATTTAGGAAAAGTCAAGGTTTCTAAATGGCCTCCATCAAGAACAGCGTGACCAGTCTTAGGAAGAAGAGAAACCAGGAAGTTAGTACAGAAGCATAATCAAATTCATACTGATAAGCTCTTGACTACTTATAGCAGGGTGTTTAACCAAATATTCTGCTGAGGATTGGCTCAATTAGCATTCCTTTTAACATCATGCAATGTTTCAAAGATCACCTTGGTTTGTAAATGGAAAAATTAAATCTTGTGCTTCCCCCCCACCCCACCCCCCACCGACAATACAGACTGAAGGAAGAAATTTCGATTTTCCGTCTGTAAGCCAAAGCAGCTTAACTGAACTTGTGTTTTTGTTTCAGATCCTTAATGATCACAAAGACGATAATTTATGACTGACATACTTCTTGTGCCAAGGAAAGAGCTGAAAGGCCCTCCAGTAACCTCCATTAGACCAGTAGAAGACTAAAGGAGCCCAGCACACTTCAGGACCATCTGTCCAAATGGGTAAGTGAAATAATAGTGGCAAGCTGTCTCGTCTTGCCTGGTGATAAGAGTTTTTAGGCAAGCCCAAACTTCAGCAGACATTCTCAGATCTGGGTTCTAATCTTTTCTTCAGAAGGCCAGATGAAAAAACAATCTTGCACCACTGAATTATTAGCAGGGGAAAAGTACCGAAGGGTTAAAAATGTGGTCCTCCTACAAAACACCCCGTTTTGCTGTGGTTCTCTGTGATAGAGCTACCAAAACTTCCTGATGTTTTCAGTACGCTTAAATTATGCTTCGATGTTTTAGCTCTTTTTATTTAAAAAAACAACAACAAACTATCCCTCTTATTTTGATCAGGATTTAGAGGCTTTTTATTTCATGAAAAAAATTATTCTGATTCGAGTGTCTCAAGTCCGTTTTGCTTTAAAATGTTTCCTGTTGGTAATACTTAGAATTGATCCGTTGAAATGGAACAGAGAATAAATCTTTATCTCTTGCTCATCGTGTAATTAAGATAAAATTCCCATAAAATATATGTTTCTAATAAACTATTAAAAATAGCTAATGAAACATTTAAAAGCCAACAGTTAGATAATCCTTTTTTTTCCTCCTCAAAATAAATCTGAACTGACCAATTGGTTAATTTCCCTTTTAAGTGCTTGTGCTGAAAAGCAACTGTTCTTCCAAGAAAGCACTAGCTGTTTCCAGGATACTTACACACGCACAATGACTCATGATGGAATAGATTCAGTAAACATACAGCTGTACTGAACACGAGCTAAGCTCCATTCAAGGCCAGGAAAGAAAATGAGCACAAATAAATATTAAGGAGGTAAAGGGGGGGGTGGGGTGAGGGGGATGGAACGCAAACAAGATCTGTCCCGGCCGCTCATGTGGCTTTGCCTCAATTCTCTTAGCCATAGCTTTGTGAAGACAGATGACATTCAATTCTATGTGTAATGCAAAATAGACAATAACTACTGAAACTTGAGACAGCTGCCAGGTGTAAAAAAAAAAAAAAGAAAAGAAAAAAGAAAGAAAAAAAAGAAAAGATGATAAATCCATAAATTAATGAAAGACATCTGCTCAGGAATAGAAAAGATCAGAGAAGCAGGGTACTGCAGCTGAACCTGGGGGGGTCCCAGCAACCTGAGACTCTGAGTGCCGTCTGTTTACCAAGCGCGACATAACCGTACCTACACAGCGGTGGCAGGCGAGGAGCGGGGCCAGCAAAAAGACAAACGCGAGAACACCACATTGTGAGGGCTGGAGGAGGCGAATTGTTCTTCTTCTTCTTCTTCTTTTTTTTTTTTTTTCCCCAATTGAACTCCGACCTGTGGCTAGAGATTTTACCAGCTGCACTTCCAACCAAATTGGATTGGGGCTACTTACTTACATTTTCTAAAATGCTCTGAAACCCAAAGAATTTTTAGCCGTCTCCTTATGCTCCCCGATTTGCTGTTTCCGAGAGCATTTCTCCCTCAGATGGGGAGGATCTAGACTGTCTCATTTAATCAAAGTGATAGAACGAGCTGTTACTCCATTAAGAAGTTGAACGCCTAAGACGTGTCACTTAATGGAAATTAAAAATAAAAAGAATTTACTGAATAATTTTTGGGGGGGGTCGGAACCCAGAGTCTCTCGGTCTTTCATATAAATGTTTTCCCCGTAGCTAATACAGCTAATAGAATGACTGTGGCCCCACAAACCTTCTAAAAATGTCCATGGATTATTTCACATATTAGAAATTCATTTTTAATCCATGTTTTCCAGTTGGATTTTAGTTTCAAATTACCAAACAATTTTCCTTTCCTAAATTTGAAGTGTTGTAAACATTCTCCCCAACAGTCAGGTTGGGGACGCTGTCTGTCACAGGAAACAGGCTCAGTTTCTTCACCTGCACATCTTAACAGCTCATAAGACTATTCTCAGCTCATAAGACTACTCTGGAGCTTCAGCTGGGTGCATGCAAATGTCTGAGGCCTACACAAGGCTATTTTTCTTGAGATGCAAAGAGGATGAATGACAAGGAACATCATGAAGAAAAACATTTGGCTGGCTCTTTCTTTTGGAATTTGAATAAAACTTAATATTTGATTAAATAGATTCATTTGCAAAGACACCGAACACATTTTTTTTTTCAATATCCAAGACGTGAGCTCCTGGAACAGGTGCACTGACATTGAGTTCAACAGGCACACATTCACTACTTCCTTTCGATTAGAAAGGATAACGAGGTATCCCGTTTATATAGATTACATATGCTTCATGTGCTGAACTTAGAATGGATTTATCTGATAAGCTGGTGTTCTTAATAGTTCTTATCTTGGCTACTTTGTTCAAAGAAGCAGATGATGCCCTTTGAAGTGGGAAGAATCCTTCCTTAAGAACTAAATTATTCATTACTATTTGAAAAGCCATGACTACAAATAAAAACATAATAATGACAATCATAGAGGTGTCATTTCATCCCATTTCTACTCATGTCTATTGAATTTTTTTCTAGGAATAACTGTGCTACCGGTTCTAAGATGGCCTTATATACCTAAAACTGAAGTAGACACCACTCTCTAGGATTCCCAGAGAATTCTTTAAACGAAAAGCTTTGAGAATTTTGCCTACACTCCATTGGGTAAATCAAGGGAAGAACTCATTGCCATACAAGGATGGAGACAGGAGACAAGTGGACCCAGTCTCCCCCAAAACACTCAGATCCTCGTTGGCTTCAGAATCGTGGGGATTATAGAAAGGGTTGCTTGCCTGTCTTCTTCCTGAGAAAGAATCTATCAGTGGGATAAATGGTTAAAAGTACGGCATGATCGAGGGGAAAGAAACAGAGCATAGAAGGCCAAAAGGTGGAAAATGTAAACATTAACTGCAACAAGAGGCCAAAATTATTTAGCTCCATGAAAGAAACAACTCCAGGTGTAAGCAACATTTCATATGAACACAGGTGTTTCCAAGCCATCCCAGTTCAACAGACTCATACTGGTAGGAGACGGAAGTTATTCAGCTGAAGAAGAAACTATATTCTCCTTAAAGCCTTTGATATGTATAGAAATAAAAGGAACTTCTTTCAATTCAAATCCTCTAAATTCCTCAGGGGATTTAGAGAGCGTGAGACAATGAATGTAGCCAACACTTAAAGCAATCTAAAAGATTTTGTTCCTAGAAAACCCAACTTACTTAAAAAAAAAAAAAAAACCGCACAGGCCTAATGATCTGGTTACAATGAAAAGCCTAATTAAAAAAAAAAAAAAAAAAAACCCAAAACCCATAAACTGGTTAAAGAGTTTAGTGTGCACTTATGGGACTTTGGTGAAACCTGGTTTCAAATATTTCTCAACGTAGGTATGTCCCTTTCCTCTGAGTGTGTGTCTGTGTATGTGTCTGTGAGAGAGAGAGAGAGAGAGAGAGGAAGGGAGAGAAACACCCCACCATCTTGACTACTGCCTTCAAAATGAAGTAAGATAGGGTCTAGCAATAGGGTCTAGCCCTGGACCTCAGGCTTGTGTGAACCTCAGATGATGCTCTTCCTCCCAAGGACAGAAAACCATTCCAGGTACTGCATCTTCTCGCTTGGCCTTTCTCATCAGCAACACTATATGGCAATCATTTTGACCAATGTTTATTGCCTGTTTATAATGTGCAAGGCATGGTGATTGGCGAAGCTTCGATTCATGGTTGGTAGATTACATTTTAGGTCTTTGAAAGGTAGAAGTTAAATCAGCAACCAAACCAAGACTCAATTTCTGTTTATATACCTAAGTCCTCAACATCTTTATCTTCCTTCCTCTCATGACATTATTCTCTTCTTCCTCACTGCGGAAAGAGACTGTGTTTAAGTGCCCCAAGTGGGTCTCATACTTGTGGCTCACCTTATCAGAAATCTTCACTACTGTCCTGAGAGCTGGTTAGAAGAACAGCCTTCCCTACATAGAAAAATGTATTTCCACCATAGCTGGGACTTTGCACTTACGTGGCAGCCTCTGGAGTGGGCTTAGATACTAAAATGCCAATCTCTAGTCATCAGGACAATTGCTCAAAATCCTCAATTTCGCAACAGCCAACTTAATTGCTAAATTTTATGTCCATCTGGCAATTGATTCTAAAAGAAACACGCCTCTACCTGCCCCCAAATGCTACTATTCGACTACCCCAAAACACCAACAGCCACAAGATTTTTAAAAAATTGACTGAAAGGACCAAATTACAGAGGAAAAAAGAAAAGTCAGTGAAAAATAGCTGGAGTTCAGGACAGGTCTAATAAAAAATATAACTGGCATCTCCACCTAAAAGTCAGGTTCAAAATATAAGAGTCATAAAAAGAGCCATTTTTAAGTCGAATACAGCTGAGTTTTATATTTAATTGTGCTCTCTTGCTTTCCAAAATAATTTGCTTTGTGTATGTTAGGACAAAAGATTTCTGTGTATGGCTGAACAGAGGTTAATCATGCATAGAGGCAGCTGCACCAGGCCCAAGGAATAGACCTTGGGTGAACGAGAGAGAGAGAGAGAGAGAGAGAGAGAGAGAGAGAGAGAGAGAGACCAATGCCGTCTGAATACATCAGTACCTGTATATTTCCTTAAAGAAACACCACCAGCGACAAACCACGTCTCACTTAAAGATCAAAGAGAGAATCTGACCTCCCCCCGCCCCGCCCCCATGACCATTTTTCTCCCACTGAAGCCTCCCACCAGTAAAGTGCTCTTCCTAAGATTTAATCAGGTCTTCCTTACACGGCCCAGGAGCCCTGCAGATGGGTTAAAGGGAGAATTCTTCTTATGGAATCTTAGGGAATCTCAAAACTGACTTTTCTCCTGACTCCATCATAAAACTTTACACCTTAAAAACAATCTGATAGAATTCATTATTATAATGAGTTGGTTTTTTTTTTTTTTTTTGGTCCATCTCTGACTCTACTCCTAAAAGAAAAAAGAGAGAGAGAGAGAGAGAGAGAATACAGGAAGAATAGCAGAAAAAGCACTGCTGGAAAAGCACATATTAAATACCAGCTCTCTGAGGCAATTAACAACTTGTGAAAGTTGCAAAGATGTGGGTTTCCTGTGAAGCTTTTGTGCAATCAGGAGCGCAGCACGTGTGCTGATAAAAGCCTATTACTCTGAATAATAGGAAAGATTGCATTCCTTAGAAGATATTACTCTATGTCCTTCTATCTATTGTGGAAACCTGACCTTTGGGGAAGCCTTTTTTTGTTGTTTTGTTTTGTTTTGTTTTCCTCGAGGGGAAAAGAAAAGGATATTGCACTTCCCGAATAAGGTGAGATTTCGGACATGTCTTGAAGATCGCCACACTCGGACTTGATGAGCGACAGGGAGAGCCCTTCTGCGGTGCTGGGTGGGTGTGCTGGTGAACAAGGATGGTGGCTCAGGTGGTGGGATGACATCTTGGTCCTCAGACTCGTGGTCTCCCTAGTTAAGTCTAAGGATTCAGGAGAGGCTCTGTCTTTTCCCGAGAAGGAGCCGGAGGGAGCACCTAATGGACTCTGAAATGGGTAGGCCATCAGGGGAAGGGGAAAGGGATGGCGGAAGGTGGACGTGGTGAAGCCCGCGGTGGCGGAGAGAGGTGACTGGTGCAGGGGCTGGTGGTGGCCACCGGCGGGGGGGCCGGAGGTGGCCTGGTCGGAGGAGTTTTTGCGGACCACCAGGGGCAGTGCTTCTGTCTGGTCTGTGGAACTGGGCATCTGCACGTTGCCAAAGGTGTCCAGGGGGTTCGGAATGATGACGTCGCCAAAGCACTGCAGGCGCTGGTTGGCGGTGTGGAAATTGTGGTTCTCCCCGTTGACGGCGAATCTGGCCTGGGGGATCTGGAGAGGCGGGAAGACCTGAGGAACCTGGCGGGAGGGTTTGGCTGAAAAGACTTTGACCACAGTGTCCACAACTTGCGACATGGCCGTGTTCAGTTCCTGCTTCAGGGTCTCGGCCAAATGTTTGCCTTCCGGTTGTAAGGAGTTCGGACCATGATCTCTTTCTTTGTTGCTGCCTTCTCGTTTGGGCTTGTTTTCCACCAGCTCCTGCTCCCTGATCAGGGCTCGGGCTCGGTCAATGAACTGTCCCGGGTCTAGCTCGCACATCTCGTTATCTGACCGCCCCACGGAGTCCTGGGCCCTGGCGTCCAGGATCTCCGAGCGCATGCTGTCTTCAGACAGGTTCCCATCTTCATCATTTTCAGAATCGGTGCTGTCGTAGATTTGGTAGAACTTCTCCTGCAGCTGGCGCAGCTGTTTCTGCATGTCCTCCAGCTGCTGCTTCAGCTGTCGGCGCTCCTCTCGCTTCTGTTCTTTGCGGGCGGAAACCAGCTGCTGGAAACTCTGTTGCTGCTGCTGGGGCAGCTTCTGCTTGCGTTTGTTTTCCCTGTAACTTTCTCGGGGACTCACAGACTGCGGAGCCATCTCTCTTTCATTTTCATTGCCCCTTAATGCCACACTGGGGGAATGGCTCATACCCCGAATGATATTCTCAACCCGGGCGCGCTTCGCTCTCAGGTGCTCATCACATAAGCGATCCATATCAAACTGGCTCATAGTAGGCCTGCCAAAAGGGGAAAGACACTCTGGGGGGCTGTCTCTTGAAGAGTTGCTGCATATATCCTCCTGATGTACTTCGGAGCCTGTACTAGAGAGACCGCTGGCTTGGAAACTGGGCTCCGTGCCACCATTTTTGTTCATGTTATTTTTCAACAGCTGGGAAATTATGGTTGCTCCTGGAAAAGGCATCATGGCATCTTCGTACGAGTTCGCCCTCTTCAGCAGCTTGCGGAGTACATTTGACTTTTCCCCATCTGCATGCTGCACCACTGAATACTCAACATCCTGCTCAGAACCTTGGGGATTCATGGCACTAAAAAACGTTGCTCTCGCCTTAGCAAAAAATGCAGATGCTGTCCCTACCGTCCTTTTCACTCCAATGTCAACTCTTCTCCTCTTGGTTTGCCGGCTTAAGAGGGCTGTGCTGTCATGGTCAGGCATCACTGGACAGTTATTGTGCCATCTTCAAAAGCTCGTCAGCTGGGCACAGCTCAAGAATCCCGGGACCCTGGCCAACAGAACAAAAGGACTGATGAATCATTTTCTTTAAATTTCTCCAAATTTCCTGACCTCAATCCTGAATCAAATGCAAAATGCATAGGCTCTGGGATTTATGGCACATTACAATTATTGCAATTTATTATGCACTCTGCTTGAAATGAAACATTTTTAAATATTTCTGCTCCACTGGTTTAAGATGGATTAAGATTAAAAAAAAAAAAAAGCAAAAACTGCTTAAGCACCAGTAATATGATTCTCTTTCACAAATGCCTAAAATGATACTGTTTATCTTCAGAAGAAACAGTAGATTATAAGAACACAGCCTCTGACAACCAATTGATTAAATTTTGGGCATTGAGATTCATATTACAAAAGAAGATGAAAGTGGTCTATACTTAAGAAATAAGGTTCAATTTTGAGGCTGTGTGAAATTTGGGCAAAAAATTCCATTTCTGAATTAAAATTATTGTGGTTTTAATGCTATTAAAGGAAAAAGACTTGAAAATAAATGCAAATACTTAACACGCCCCCTTTATTACTGAATTTTAAAATATTTTTGTCGTATGCGAAATGGGAAGGAGAACACCCCATCAGCATCTTTCCAATATAAATGGTCAATTTAACATTGAAATAAATGCACAAATACTCATTTTACAAGTCTGCTTATTTCGCATAGATATGCATTTTTATTAGTAAAATCACATTCAAAAATGGTATCTGTTGCTATATTTTAACACAAGTGTGAGAATATTGATACATTTTCATGATGTCCTTTTGATTACTTAAATTACTGCAAAGTTGCTACAAAAGAAGGAATTGTCACATTTTAGAAATCAATATGTGGAACAATAAATTGAGTTAGGCAAGGGTAAATACATCTTCAGTATCAGTTTTCTTCTGTCCCAATCTGCCAGAATAATACTTCAAATGCCTAAGGAAACTTTAACATACACCATTTGTGAATTGTATTTCTTATGCCAAATTAAAGAAAAAAAGATAAATAAAGGAGAAAACGG